ATTTGCACCCCTCCCCCCAAGAGACATTTGACACCGCCCCCAAAAGTTTCTGCACCCCCGCAAATTATATATATTTTGATTTGATAGTTTAATATTTGATTATTCTTACTACTAAATTTGAAAAATCAACAATATTATGGTCTCAGATCTCGCCATGCAGGCCTAGAAAACAAATTTTGTTAAACTTTTTCCTTGGCCTTTCCGGGCATTGTCACCACGCCCCGGCCAAAACAAGCAGCAGCACCCCCCCCAGATATTTATCCACACCACACCCCCCTCCCCCGAACGAAAATATGAAAATTCGTCTCTGAATCTTTCGGCAAAATATATCACAGAACCGCTGAGCTGAACCGCTGGCCTTCTTTTCGCTGCACAAAGATAAAATCGTTCATTGAAATTGAAATACGGAATTTTTGTTGGGACGAGTGAACATGATATCTATTTACAATGGAGTCTATAGCACATAATAGATATAGACTTTGTGCATAGCCTATCGAAGGGAAGATGGCTGTGAAACTTATTAGAATAACAATATAACTCATTATCTATGTTAGTCAACGTTTATTCATAAATCTGGTCGTTTCACCGTCACGTGTGTATTGTATTTTCACCAAATCCACAAATAGCAATTTCCAGTTTCGCTATTGTTCGAGTCACGGATAGGTGACTTTCCTAAAACATTGCTATTGGTTAGTTGGATGAAAATACAATACACACGTGACGGTGAAGGACCAGATTTATGAATAAACGTTGACCAACATAGATAATGAGTTATATATATTGTTATTCTAATGAGTTTCACAGCCATCTTCCCTTCGATAGGCTATGCTCTGTGCCGCCTGGGACTATAGGTTTCGACGTTTCGCGGATTGTTAGTCACAAAATGACTACGTCATTTTTTGTCAAAAATTACGTCATTACTATTAGTCGCTGGATCCAATTAATTTCATCGATTTTGTGCGCATTTTTTTCATTTTTCCGATGAAACTTAAACGTTTTACCATGAACCAGACTTTATGAACTAAAAGTCATCTTATGTGAGCAAACTTGGAAGGCTAGAAGCTTGAAATAAACGACAAAAGTTCACAATTTTTAATTTCACAAAGTTGGAACGGCAACCTTCGTAAATCGCAACAATAATATTCGCAAGCTGCTGTTTATTGGATGCTTTTTTACGGCCCTTAATGCAAATAATTCCGGATACGGATAGGCGGTCAAAAGAACATGGTGCAGTCTAACAAGACAGAAATACAGCCATAGCGATCATCATTCATCACTACTTGTTGTTGTGTGGAACTTGTAAACTTGCAGTGTACTCCAACTCGTTCTCAGGGTCTCTCCTTCAAGAAAGATCCTAGGTACGAGGTTGCAGTGAACTGTATTTCAGTTATTTCACGATCAGTGTATTGTGTTTTAAATGGGGCCGCAGTAATAGACCCTTTCAAGGTCAAGACGCCATAATGAAACACAATGGTGCAAGGGATGCAAACACAATGGAATTCCCTATAGCGGGTAAATTTGCAAGGGGTGTAAACACAAGTAAGGCACATGCCGCACATCAGGGCGCAATGCAATTCAATGGGTTAACCTTGAAAGGGCCTATTGGTAACTTCTGTTATGGGTACGGGTTATCCAGCCTGAGGCGAAAGTATTAAATTATAAATTGTTATAAAATAATGTTCTGTAAAGTAGTTAGGGATCGGTCATTATTTGTGGAAAAGGGACAAGGGGGAGGGCAAAAATAAGGTGGGGCCATGGGTATAAGTAAATGACTAGAAGGGGGGGGAGGGCGGCGGGTTATTACTTTTTTCTAGAAAATTGGAAGATCAAAATAAATTTGAATACATTTGCTTAAGCCTGGTTTCCAGTTTTCTCAAAGTTGACTTTAAAGCCAGATAAAATTTATTCTAATCAAGAAGTGTTTTTTTTTGTAAATAGGGTCTGCTTAATAAGACACAAGAATGGTTTAATAGAGCTTCCTTCCTTGCTGGAAAATGATATTTTAAAAGCTCTCACGAAAGCTGTTATTACAATATGTATTGTAGAAACACACAGAACATATTATTTGTATAATACAGTAGATAAATTTGGCAAAGTTGTTTACATAGTTGCTATGCACTTCACAACTTTAGACAGGGGCGCTGGAATATCGATAATGGGGAAGATATTCATATATTCGTGTTCTGCCCAATTAATATCTTTTCAAATCGATTGTTTTTACAGTCTGTGAACACGAATATATGAATATCTGCCCCCGCAATTATCGATATTCCGGCGCCCCTGACTTTAGATATTAATGCCTAATTAATATTACTGTTCTAAGCATTTGATAAGCACGTACTACACTATAAAAGTTACCTTTGCACTACTCTATGCTTCAGAATACTAGAACAATGATAATTAGGCATGTGAGTTATGTAAAGTTGTGAAGTGGGTATAACCAAACTTAGCAAAATTTGTTTATCGTCTATAGTACATGGGGGAACTTGTTTAACGAACTTTGTCTTTGATGTATCTTTGAATCCCATTTTTAAAAAAAATTCATATGAAGACATAAATAAACAAAAGGCAGCAACCAATTACATCTTAATATGCAGTCCAATTTTGCCATTTCTGGGACCTTAGCCTTACTTAGGTATATAAATGACGAGGGTCTCACAGTTATATATTCTGCTTCAAGTCTCCATGTCTCTGGACGACCTAAGCTGATTTAAATTAAAGTTGTGTGTACCATTATCTATACCACCAAATTAGGCCGTTTGCTGCGTCCAAATATCGTTCAGTTTCATTCAAGCCTGTCTTGGAGCTGAAATATTTTTACGGGAACTAACACTTTCAAGCACGCTGAAGTGCGAAAACATCCCGCCTCGTAGACCCGCAGTTTTCTCACAAACTGCTAATTTCACAACAAATTTTTTCATTGTTCAACGACACGGATCGATCATGACGACACACGATTATATCACTCAAAACGACCAATTTCTATTAACCAGTTTTCCTTTTAACAAAAGACCGTTTTGCTCGAATCATTTTGAGTTATGTAACCTTATGCGTGTTGCGAAGCCAACGTAACGGCAAAGACCTGCACTAAAATGAAATATTGTCAATTAGTGGATGCTAGAAGACTTATGACAGGATTAATCTTAAAATCAAAGACAAAGATCAGTGCCAAGGTATAATATATGCTCTGTAAACTTACGACGAAGTGGAGAAATGTGTGCATGAGCTGTTTATTTGGTGATTTCAACGTATATGGCAGCCCTCTCTCCAATAACATTCGCTTAATTATCGCAGAGAATAACACCAACTGATAAAATAGTTCAAATGCAATCATAAGTTACCTCTTCAATTACATCTCAGAAACTGTGTTGGAAATGTAAATGCTGACTCATTCCATAGGATTACCGTTTTAGGCTACATCGTTGTATAAAACATTTTGATCGCATAAGGAATTATTTCTCATCCCAGAGATATAGCCCAACGACTTAACATTGACGTCCTTGTGATTTTATACTGGAGATACAGCCAGAACTGAGGATTTTACAAAGCGATATTGGTACCTTCCGAAAGTTGTAGACAAGATATGTTGTTTACATCCAACGCCCTTAAAATTACATAACTCAAAATGATCCAAGCAAAACGGTCTTTTGTTCAATGTAGAGACTGGTTCATAGAAATTAGTCCATCCGTGTAGTTGAACAATAAAACAAAATTTGTCGTAAAATTAGTGTAGATAAAATAGCAGTTTGTGAGAAAACTGCGGGTCTACGGTGCGGGTTTCGGATTTGAAGTCAGCGTGTTCGAAAATGTTAGTTCCCGTAAAAATATTTCAGTTCTAAGACGTGCTTAATGAAAATCGTTTTCTAGGCGCTTTTCGAGATCACAGCAAACGCCTA